TTCAAAAATCAACTGCAGTTCAAATTGAAAAAAAAACAAACAAACACGTTTTCATGAGCTTTTAGGGTTCATTTTAAATGTGTTGTTTCTGTTTCCCTGCAAAGGACATTTGAATGGTGATTTGGGAATTGTAGTTTTAATTTATTTTGATCTTGCACTCGACAAATACTACCCCCCCCCAAAAAAAAAAAACTAAAACTAAAAGTAATAAAAAAATTCAACTAAAATAAGCATTTTTGAAAAAAATAATCACTGTGGGCAAAAAAAAAATAAAAAGCCTTTCAACACCCTTCAGAAAACTTTTTTGTCTAGCGGTCATCCGTAACGACCTCAACTGTCGCCACGCTTCCACCTTCCGGTTTGTTCTGTTGGATGGCCACAGTTTGACGTGCTGCACTCCGATTCGGTCAGCGTTTCCTCAGTGGCCGCGTAGCCGATGCTGCGTAAGATCAACTCAAGTGTATTTCGAGAAGACTTGAAACCAACCAGCGTTGTCTCCAAAGTGCGACGCATGGAGCAAAACCAATTCATCCAGCAACTAAAACCACATTCATAACAAAGAACGATAGAAAGCAGAAAAACGCTCAAACTTGAAAATCGAGTCTCATGCCGAGTCAAAAGCCACAGACTAGAAATGCCTACAGGATGGGCAGTATTTTTATTTTTTATTTTTTTATGTGGAGCCCAAACAAAAAAAGGTTGGACACCTCCTGAGCTAGCGCCTTGCCCGAGTGACTTTGGGCAAGGTAGAAACAAGCCACCACTCTAACTTACGGACAATTTCCAGTCTTCGCTAAACCTCGATCACGATTCCAACCGAAAGCCGCTCCGTGTAAGATCCAAAGCAACATTATCGACTTGTTTTCGAGGATGCCGTATATTGTACTGGTAATTTCCATTGTACGAGTCGACTGCGGGTCCCCGTGGCGCGGTGACAGAGTGACACTCCGCCCCCATTTTCTTCTTGGGGAATCTGTGGGAAAATAATGTGCAGGAGTCATGACGAACGCTTCTGTTTTCGACTTCCTGAGTCACGGTGATCCAAAAAAGCGGCCCCTGTCTCACTTCTGAAAGGGAGCCAAGAGTGCTGTAACAGGCGGACGCCCACATGAGGTGATTCCTTTTCACGCTCAAGAGAACCGCCCGGGCTCGCCCACATCTCTGAAAGAAGAGGCAGGGAGGCGTGCGTGCGCTTGAGAGGGAGAAGGGTGACACACCGGGGGACGGGGGGGGGGTTCAAACCTTGAAATTGGGGATAGACTGTACCGTGCCAGACCGTATACGTGGTCGTCTTGAAGCAGTAGCCCACCCGCCGCTTCCTTACTGAGCCTGCCTTTTGACAGGAAGACATATGGGCGCTAACTTTCCAACAGAAGTTGTCGAATATGAAATCCAACCAGTCATCGGTGTCATATTGAGTCTTCACTGCTGCCCTTTTAGCAAAAAGCCATTGTCACACTTTCTTGATGTGTTGTAGCCGCTGCCATTTACTCTGCCATGAATGTCTCTCGTAATCTTGCTTGGCGAACTGCATTCGCTAAGAAATGAGCACGGCCTCTCGAATGAAGCAAACGGAAAGCGCCCTTTGACGGAAGAAGATGTTTTGCCAGTTGGCATTTAGCAGAACATCACCGACGCGTCGGTACTGCGTCTGATGACCAAAAAGAAGGGGAGATTTTCGACCGGCTGAAAAAAGGGGGGTCCATCGTGCAGCGCAGGTGGCGAACGGTGTCGCGGTTCTGTTTTGTTTTGTCTTAGCGAAAGGCTCTCCCTCCCGTTCCGCACCCGGCCCTCCCCCGTGTCGTTCTCGGTCGCTCCCGTGATAAGAGACTGCCAAGCCATCACCGGTTGTCGGCGAAATCGCCTCGCTCACGTCCAAGCGCTATTTACCAGAGCGTCGTCGGTGTCGATCTCGTTCCTGGTCCCGCTTGTATTCTGCTTGGTTGCTCTCGTTAGTTTTGTTGCGTTTTGGCATTGTTACCCTCGGTGCCTTTTTGCTTCAGTCATCCATTGGCTTCTCCTTGTCGTGATTTTGCGTCATTTATTTCTCTTGCCTTTTGCAAGCTTTTTTTTTTTGGGTTGTTTGTCGGAAGGGCTGTTCCCAGCAAATACTAGAACTAAAAAAAAAATTTAAAAAAAAGTAGCTTAATTGAAGCCATCTTGAAAAAAAAACAAATTAAACCTGCTCTAAAGAGCTAATTAAAACCAAATTAAAACGATAATGGAACCGCCCCACATGATATTTTCGTCCTGACTCATCATTCATACAACAGAATAAATATATGTGTAACTAAACAGGCCCAGGTTTGACATGAAATCAAATCAAGCGAGATTTCACATATGCATTCAGTCCTCTTGGCTTCAGTCCGAGAGCTTCATCCTGACTCTCACCGATTGTGCTCATCCTCCTTCCGGTTACCTTTGGCTCTGCGTTGATATCTGCGTAGTTTGCCGTTCCTAATCGCCCGCATCTATGCGCGCGCGCACGCCTCCCTCCCTTCCCTCTGCATCAGCGCATTACCTCCCCTCCCCTCCCCGCACCCCTCGCGGCTCCGTGCGCACACACACGCTCACTCTTGCGGGCGCGCGCCAAACAAACACTTCTCCCACGCACGCTCCTCGGCTCCCCTCCCCTCCCCGTCTTGGTGCTGCCTCATTCACTTCATCCACGCGCTGACTCCCGACGGCAAGGGGCGGGGGGGCGGGGTTTGGATATAAACCACGAGCAGAAGGCCACACGCTACACTGAGACTGAACCCACTTTCAGTGCCGCAAGCAAGAAGACTCCGAAGCCGGGAGTAGAAGTACCAACGTTGATTCTGGGAGCATCCGCCGTTTACTTTCTCCGGATTGCAAGCCAGATTCATCAGCACGCGCGCTATAAGCCCGATTCTCCGGATATAGCAGCCAAACAAAGTTGGTAGTAAACTCTTTGGAGTTTGTAAGAGTCGCTTTTTTTCAAAGAAAATTCTTTGCTTGTGGGCATCGCGGACACTCGGAGCTGACCCGCCCGGGTCCGGAGCCGACCCGGCGCCTTCAACGCCGCAGCAGCAACAAACCGGCAGGTTTTGGCCAGAGCGAAGTCCGTGCCGCCGTTCCAAAGTCTTCAACGTTTCAGGTCGAAAGACGCGGTAAGAAAACGTGCGTTTCTCTGCCATTGGGCACTTTGAAGGAAATGTGACGAGTCATGGGCAGTGTTTGCTCGGCAGCTTCTGCTGCGTGTCGAAAGCTTTCACTTTGCTGTCCGTGGTTCTGAAACCTCGCGAACTGCCTGCGCGCGCTCTAAAGTTCACCAGCGTGCAGAACTTCGCCACATGCATGGAATGTCGATTTTGTTGCAGCTGCGCCGCAGCGCCACTTTGGCCGTCGTCAGCTTTGAATGAGAAGTTGCCGGAACTTTTCGGTTGTCTGCGCTATCGGTGTTGGTGGTTTTGTGCACCTTGTTGGGTTTGGTTGGTCTTTCCAATCGCTTGGGTAAAAGGGGAGCACTTCACGAAGAACAGGAGGAGGTCAGGAGACCGAATGCCTGTTTGTGTTCCACGTGCGCATGCTGCAAATGCAGCAGTCCCCGAGGCTATCGGGCGTTCGTAAAAGCAAAACCGAGCCCGCAAAGTCCAGGATCAGACCCAAGAAAGAAGAGCGGGTTTTGGTTTTGTTTTGCAACAGCGCTCGGTTTGCTCCCGCGCTTCAAAAACGGTGAACTGCAGCATAACTGAGCAGTGCGGTTTTGAACCCAAATATCCCGAACCGCATCTCCATGACAACAGTGTCTTGCTTGCTTACTCCCTGGCGCACTCGTTTTTGCCGAAATGTTGCCGCCGGCGACAAAGGGTCGGGCGGAGGGGAGAAGGAAGAGAAAGGTCAGCTGGGAAAGTGGGCGCAATGTGCGTAGACCACAGCTGGACCTCCTTTCTTTTCACTCCATGCACATTCATGGAGCTTCCGGGTGGAGGAGGGAGGGGGGGCGGGGGGAGGCGCGAGAGAGCGTGCGAGAGAGCCCTCTCTATACAAAGCAGAAGTCTTTGCTATGCCGCTCACAGAGTGGAGCCACGGGGAGGGGGGGAAATGAGAGGAAACCAAGCCTGAAAAGTGCAGGTGTGTGTCTGAGCCAACGCCACCGCAACGACCAAATCATACGGCGCTGTCGCCTTCATGATTGACATATGCGGCTCCTTGTCGTCAACCCGATCGATACTGCAGAATAGCCGCAGTCCAAGGATGGCAAAGACGCGTGGCACTGAACGCAAGAGAGAGATGTTGCCCGGCAACCAGTCAGAGCGTCTCCCGTCCGTTCAGCGGGGGCAGGTCGAGCGCAGATCTTGCAAGTGACCGTGCATACTTTCCGCCCCCACCCCGGATGACCGTGTGTGGCCGTGGCGTTCCCATAAGAAATTGCAAACTGCAAGAAGCGCCGTTGCAAGCGATAATTGCATCCGGGCAAGAAGCAGGCCCAAGCATTCACGTTTCAGTCGGTAAAATGTTGCAAAAGCTTCTTCATCGCCTTGCATTTTTGCATTCTGAGTCACACTCTCGCGTGGATCCATCTCAGCTACGATTTGGGATGAAATTCGTCAGTGATATTTGAGTACAACATCCAGCCGGGGCGAATCATTTCTCTTGTTTATCGTGTAATAAGAACTGTGCATTGTCGTTGCCCCCCCCCCC